CAGCAGGAACTGAAGGTGGTCAGCTCCTTGCAGGAGCCAGATCTGCTTTCTTTACTCCCTGTCATTTGATGGAGGCCGATGGAACTCCCGAGGCTGCGCTGGGAGCAGCAGGTTGTGCGTACACAGCCACATGTGGGTGAGAAGCTGAGCACGTAGCAGAGGGCAGCATTGCCTTTTAGATGTGTGCCTGCACCTAGGGCCAAGACAGTTCAAATGGTCAGTGACCTTTTTCCCATGCTTGTTGAAAACATGATCTAGTTGATGCCTGATGATCGTGTCTTTCTACTGGCAGGCAAGGGCAGCCACCCTTTCCATGGCAGAGACCATGATGCAGTGGGGGAAACCTTTTTGGCTGGTGAGGCTCAGTATGTGTGGTGGTAGATTCTTCAGCACAGAAATGGTGAAATGCAGGTTGTATCAGTTACTGTTGGGATCAGGTTTATGAACTTTGGTGAATTTTATTCTGCTAGATATTTCTGTGCATGGCAGATACTTGAGTAATCTCAGATCAGATGTCAGGGTTTTATTATATTTGTATATGAACCATCTCAAAAAGTTTTCTAAAATATGTGTTTTCCTTAGTTCTGACTGTCAGCACTTCACACAGCATTCTCACAGGGTGGGCAGTGGTTGCCTTTTAGTGATGGGGAGGACAACACTTGGAACGTTCAAACGCCTCATGCATGGATGCACAGGTGACACAGTACATATTCCAAAAAGGAATATGTACTTTGAAATACTGAAATTAAAATCCAGGTTTCTTCCAAAATGTGAAAAAATTTTAGATTCACTTTCAGTAAAGAAATATGGAGGGATCCCAAGTACACATGGGAAGTTCTCACTGGCTTTCCCTGGGTCAGCCTAAAATGGGAGTTGCTGCTGTTTTCCATTTAGCTATGAAGGAGCAGAAGTGATCTAAACATGACCACAATCTACAGACCCATTTCAGTGATTGCCTCTGGCAGCTCCATAATATCCATAGGGAGCCTGACTGGTAGCTCACCAAGCACTGATCCTTTGCAAAATACAGCAATTTTCAAGAAGTTGCCACCCTGCGCTGGAGGTCAGCACACACCTGTATGGTCCCGTGTCCTTGCACTGTGTCAGTGTTTTCTGTAATTCCCTCATTTATCAACACTGAAGTCCTTTCTCTGGGTCTTATGGCATCCTCAGGTAGTAATATATATTCTCCCTGTGATATTCACTTTTTGTCAGTTAAGTCTCTGAAAGATGACAGAATTGCATTCCTGGAGTGTGAAATGCTCAGTTTGACCAGAGAACAGGAGTCAATAACACAACTTAGGCAGTAATACGTGCCCATTTAAGCTTGGGAAGCAGGGCTGAGATTACCAGTTATGGAGCATATGTATCTCGTGGTGAATGATTACAACCATCAATCCTGTTGTACAGAGGACCCTGAACACCAACAGCATTTACTTTTACTATAACCAACCTGGGGCTCATTTCACACCATCAAATCAGAAACACAATCTCCCAAACCATGCAGGGTTATTCTCCTGTGAAGGTAATAGATGGTACCTGCCAGCTGCTGGTTTTGGTTCTGGCTCATTGCTAATAGAGCAACCCTGCCCATTCAATTGTCACCTTAGGAAAAGGCCAGAACACAGAAAGCAAAATCTGGTTTTGTTTGCTGATGGTTAAGTTACAGAAGGCAAGAAAGCAGCTCTTGCTTAGGACACTGGCCCTTGGCTAAGAGGAGAGAACAGCCCGGTGTGCAGTGACCGCAACAGTCACTTCACCGGGGGTGGAGCAAAGGCTCTTTATCTTGAGATTAAATGGAAGGAGCCAGTACCAGGAACTGTATGTTAACAGACTTGGTGACTCAAATCTATGTACACCGAAACATATTCAGAAATGTCCCCTTTCAAGCGACTCCCTTGTATTGACTCTATTAAAAGCAGTGTCACTCATCAAAAAAATGAAGCCCCGAGGCACACCCAGAGCAAGGCAGCATTGCCCAGCCTAGCACTGCCCTGATATTAAGGGGTTGCATCTGTCTGCCTGAAGCCTAATAAAAAACTTCATGTAGAATGCCTTGTTTAGTTTGACAAAGCTCAGCAGCACTTCAACGGCTTTGTCTTCTTAAAATATGCTAAATATGTGATTGTTCCAAGACACCAAACCCAGCGTAACGTGATTTACAAAGCTCTCTCATTCAGTATCCCATCTGATTTCTGGGGACAAAGAGTGTAATTAAAGATTCAAACAAGTACAGTAGAAGAGCTGCTTTAACCTTTTAAATTCATCATTAGGTTGTCTTTCAAGTGCACTTTACAGTTTGCTTGCTTGTTGCACAGCCTCATTTGTTGTCTAAAAAATATTTAGAAGGTTTGGCTGGAGTGTTTGCTGCCTAAAAGTTAATTCATTAACTCAGTTATTTTCAAGCTCACAGAGGGTGACAGTCTGTAGAGGTACCAATAATATAAGCTCTTTTGAGGAGAGCACCATGGCTTGTCACCTTAGAATAACTTGATCCAAATTCTCTGCATCAACTTCCCAGAAAAGGCACAGTTTATTATCACAAAGCAGAATGCCATTTCCTTATAAAGGTGCTGGACTGGTCTTTTTCACACTGATTCTTTTCTTGCTCCAGAAAGAAATACTTTTGCCCTTTAACCGTCCAACAGGCAGGTTCTCCTATAGCAAGCTCCTTATCCAACAAGCTCTCCTTTTTCTGGGGGAAAAAAATTTAAAAGATGCTGAAATAAGATCAGCGATTGTCAGTAGACGAGAGGGCTGCATGTCCAGGAACCAGCCTTTGCACTGGGTTTGGTGGGTGAGCCAGAACCTGGGCTTTCTGACTTTGTTCATACGGTTCTCTGCTAGCCAGTGCTTCTTCCTGGACTTGGCAGGACAGTGTGGACTCTCGTGTCACATCTGGCTGATTTTACAAGCTGTTGTAAAGCTGTCCCCGTGTGACTGTATTTACTCACTTCCAAGTCAACCTTTTCCTCTATCACTGAATGGAAATGCCCAGAAATAAAATCTCACCCGCCCGGGCTCCCGGCTCCCATCTCTCGGATTTCCGGGCCGGGTTTTCTGCACGGCCGCTGCTCGGGCAGGCCCGGGACCGGACCGGCCCCGCCCACCGAGGGGATTAGCCCCGCCCCCATGGGGATAGCCCCGCCTCCGTGGAATAGCCCCGCCTCCATGAGAATAGCCCCGCAACAGACTCAAGAAAGGTTTTTAGGCAGA